CAGTCCTAGACTCTGTTATATTTCACACAAAGCCTGTTCAACGAGCTTATGGTCCCCGTGAACCTCTAATGGGGACTACCCGTTGAACAGTTTTGTTTGAAATATAACAGAGTCTAGGACTGCTTTTAGTGTCCTGGTGGCCCAGAGGTAACGTTCCCCGGTTACAGTCATAGGATCGTGGGTTTGAATCCTGGCGGGGTGAGGTGTTGATTATATGTAGAAGGTTGCGTGCTTTATTGGGCTAATGAAATATATATGGATCCTCGTGTTTCGAAGCCAGATTTGGTAAAACATTACTCTGATCACCTAAGAGGCACGGGTAGTCCCCATTAGAGGTTCACAGCGCCATAAGCTCGTTGAACAGGCTTTGTGTGAAATATAACTGAGTCTAGGACTGCTTTTAGTGTCCTGGTGGCCCAGAGGTAACATTCCCTGGTCACAGTCATAGGATCGTGGGTTCGAATCCTGGCGGGGTGAGGAGTTGATTATATATATATATATATATATATATATATATATATATATATATATATATATATATATATATATATATATATATATATAACAAAGAAGTCTGTCTGTGTGTCTACACGAGAATCTCGGAAACTACTTTACCGATTTGTAGTGATTATGTTATATGTAGTAAAGATTGATGTTGTAATATGTAGTGATGATGGGTGGTGTTATATAAGGAGTGTTTAATTTTGTGGGTCTTATCAATAGCACTCTGTTTGGCACAGCGACTGCAGGTGATGTAGCTAAGTTAGGGGGTCGCATGAACATTGAACTAATCGACAGCATCGTGGATGCAGGATTAGGGCGTGTGGATGCAAAGCTTGTGCCTGTTAAGACTCTTCTTGAAGCATTGCAGAATGCCAAGTTGACGTATCATTTAACTCCAATTTTCAAGGATCATGAGATAGAATACTATTATCCTCTGTTGGAGTCAACTTTCACGTACAATGCTATCCTTATCCACATACCTATGCTAAAGAAGCATAAATTTAATGCATGGCTTTTAATCCTTCCCTTGGTATGTAAATGACACACTGTATACTCTGGATAGGCCAAAAGAACTTTTGCTTGTAGATGAAAAATATTCCTTGTTAGCATTAAATGATCCTAGGGTATTATCGCGGTGTAAGTCGTCATATTTACATTTACACATATGTCCAGCCTATGTCTTCACATTATTCCTGCTGCAGAAGGGATATGTGAATTGGCCGTCATACAAACTAATGTATGCACAGCGCTCACACAATGTAGCTATAGGCCAGTTAGTGTAAAAACTGTGTTTCATGCTCATCTGCATATTGTGCAGTACCTTTTCTTTCCAAATTAGACTACTGTCATTTTAAATGCCACGATGTTGGTAAGCAGTTAGTTGTGAAAGATTGTTATAAGGCTCCGGATTACTGTGAAATAACTTGTAGTTCATTTGAGACCTTGCCTACTCATCAGCATTTTGATTTAAAAGTAAATCTAACTTCGGATTTGATTCTCTTGTTTCAAGTAATGAACTTCACTATTAGTGACCTTAATTGACAGTTATGTCCTACTTGAAAGAGTCACAATTTGCTGATTTGAGTGATCAACTGCTATTTTATTTTTCACAGGGATTTGCAATACCAAGTTTAACTATTCCCACTATTGTGTTAATTCTGGCAGTGATTTTTTTTTTTTGCTATTATAAGTCAGTATCTTCCAAACTGAACATTGTACACAATACTAACCTGTAAGTCACTTAAGTCTAGGACCCCAGTAGTTGATGAAAACCTACGGTTTCAGAGTCCCCAGCTTAGTATCTACATATTTGTTTGTAACATGGTTAGGTTTATCTATAGGATGTATTCTGCGAGTTTAGTTTAGTCCTCGCGGAGCTTGGAAGGTAGGTGACCGAGCGATGTAATGGCCCCTGTTTCATCAACAGAAAGATTATATAAATGGGTTAATTACATTTTGATTTATATACATAATCATCCCCTGTAACTTTCCACTAGCTATGAGGAGTCATCTTGATGGCATCTGGTCGGCACCCTTCCTTATAAGGTGTGGCCAGAGACAGCTTAGGTCAGCATTTGAAAGGGCTGGGCGATCGGGGCACTGACGTCCTGAGGCCCCACTCTCCCTCAACGCCTCACATAGAAAGGACGTCTTTAAGCAGGTCTATTTACATAGCCTCCGTCCTTCCCTTAACACTCAAAGCTAAGAACCATATACAGTATACAACGGTTTGAGGATCTGGCAGAGCTCTACAGTTTCAGCGAGTCTATGAAATGTCTTCACTTCATGAGCCTGTTCGAGGGAAAGCCACTGGAAATCCTGCATCGTATCAGCAGTAATGAGAAGACATGTAACGTGATGAAGTCAGCTCTTCTTAAGGCTTATGGATTAAATGTAGACCAAGCAAGATCCCAGTTTCTTGGTGCTACGATGCAGGACATGGAGACCGCTACTCAGTTTGAGGCCCTTCTCATTGCTTATTTAAGCCAGTGGATCAGCATGGACGAAACGCCAGGTACCAAAGAGGGAATGAAGAATTTTATGTTATGCAATCGATTTGAAAATTCTTGCCAGTCCGAGCTCATCTCCCAGTTCAAGATTCACAAGGCGAGGACCCTTAGTCAGATGGCTGAAAAATCAGACGCTCACTTTTCTGCATATGGCTACCAAACAAGGAAAGAGTGGCGAGGTATGAAACCAATAGCACTTCCCCAGTACAAAGATCAGTCACAGCAAGGAAACCAGCATCTTTATCGCCAACAACATCCGTTATATCAGACTTACAAGAGGGACCAGACTAAATGGTGTTCAGGGTTTAATCACAGTGATATCCGACAATAGAAAACTGCCTCCATTGCATTCCACCACAACGAGGATCCTGAACCACTTTAGAAGTTACAACCCCCACCTCAGGATGATTCGAAACAGATGCATCACAAGTTTTGACTAGCAGCCGCCTCCACACACTCTTGTCACTGGCACGTCAAATTCCTTATCCAGCCTGGGTATGTAGAACACCAAGCAGTCAGTGTTATTGGGGACAACAAATCCTCGGGCTGCGTGGTGAAGAAGACTTTGGTACTAAACCATCAGTTCACCGGTGGGCAGATTCACGTCAAGATGATTGACGGATCTATCACAACTGTGCCTGAAGCAAGAGTGCACGTGAAATCCCATTCTTCACTGGTTGGATTAATGCAGCAGTTATGTCCGAGACTATTTCTGAAGTGCTAATTGGGAAAATTGAAGGGGTTAGGAGTAGCTGCTTCATGGATGCGACCACCCAGACTTCTGCTGCCGCCGTAACCCGGCAGGCGGCTCGAACACAACCACATGCCATTCCACTGGTCGTTACGGCACCTTTCGATCTCATGGACAGTCAAGACGTACTGAAAGAACAAGAGGCAGACCCCACGTTCAATACGGTACGAAGGAACTTACTGCAGGGACAGTCAGAAATTCTTATGGCAACCGAACAAGATTTGTCAGGAAAAGGGGCCGTTTGTATCGTGAGTTTGTGACACCACACCAGGAGGAACGCCTACAGTTTGTGGTTCCCGCTAAATACCGTAAGGAAGTGTTTAAGATGGGTCACTGTGCTGGTCTCGGCGTTCACACGGGGTACAACAAAAATCTTGATTGCATACAGGCCGTACTTTTCTGGCCTGGCATGGGGAAGGAGGTAGAGAGACTGGTGCATTCGTGAGATATCTGCCAGAAAACTAGTGATCGTGGACGAGTGAGACCCAATCCGTTACAGCCTCTGCCAGTAATTTATGAGCCTTTTGAGAGAGTTGCCGTTGACCTTGTGGGGCCCATTAACCCTATGGCAAGTGACGGGTCAAAGTATATCCTCACACTCAATGACTTCAGCACGAGGTGGGCAGAAGCCGTACCGCTGAAGAATATCGAGGCTGTAGCCGTTGCCGAAGTAATGATGGGAGTATTCTGCAGAACTGACATTCCCAAACAAGTGCTAAGTGACAGAGGTAGTCAGTTTACCTCCACCATGATGGAGGAAGTATTCCGTCTGCTATCGGTAAAAGGACTACGCACATCACCTTACCACCCGAGTTGCAACGGACTGTGCGAGTGATTCAATGGGACGCTAAAGAAAATGCTGAATAAGATGGCAG